GAGAGAGAGAGAGAGAGAGAGAGAGAGAGAGAGAGAGAGAGAGAGAGAGAGAGAGAGAGAGAGAGAGAGAGAGAGAGAGAGAGAGAGTGAGGTGGTTGCTTGGGAAGCGAAATAAATAATGAGGGACCTATTGGTTGGTAGAGTGAGCCCATGATTGTGTGCTCGAATCGCAGTTGGGTGGCTTAATTTTTTTCCTCTTTAGGGTCATACGTCTACTAGAGAACGTTCTTTGAGAATCCATTGCACCTCGCTTGGGTTCTCTCTCTCTCTCTCTCTCTCTCTCTCTCTGTGTGTGTGTGTGTGTGTGTGTGCCCCCCTCTCTCTCGCTCTCTCTCACATACACACAACACAGACACTCTCTCTCACTTCCTTTGTCTTACAATGGCCTCTTCCATCCTCCCTCACACATCAATATTCAAATCTGCGACTCCATTGTTGCTGTCGTTCTCAGCGGTTTGTTTGTCGATCTGTTATTGTGACTTTGTGTATTGCTGGTTCATAGCGCTAATTATCTCCTGCAAATCCAGCGGAGATAATGTATCTGGGACAAAGGCCTGTGCCAGAGTTATTTCTTGGACAGAGTTGGGATCGTAGATTGAGCTAGAGGATTTAGACCGTTGTGTCCTTGAGCTACCACCCACTTTTCCCAAGACTCTGTCTCTATCTTCCTTTCTCTCCCTTTTTCTAGCTCCTCTCCGTATCCCTCTCTCTCCTCCTCTCCTTGTCTTCTCCCCTCTCTTCCCCCCTCCTGCTTTCCCTGTCTCCCTCTCGCTTCCCCTCTCTTCTCTCCCTCTCTCTCCCTTGCTCTCAGTCTTCCCTCTGCCTGCTTTCACTCTTTCCTGCTCCCCATTCCCCCTGTCTCTTATACACATCTAGATGTGTATAAGAGACAGCTCTCTCCCCATGGGCCTTTCCCACTTTCTGCTCTTTTCTGCCCTTATATCAGCTCGCTAACTTGGTTTTTTAAGGGTATCTAGCTTTTCATCATTTCTTAGACTTGAATATATGTGATTTCTGCTTTATGCCTTAATATAGTGGAGTTTTTCCATGGCGCGATTTCTTCCGTTCCGCCTTCTGTTTCAGGTTTCATGGCTGGCACTGTTTTGGAAGCGATTTCCATCTCTTTGATTCAGCCTTCACCATTCTATTCCTGTTTCCATGACTCGTTTCGACTTTCAGCCTTCAGGTCTAAAATCTTCTGTTATGGATCATCATCATCATTCTCTGAAGGCATGTTCCTTTGGCATAACAATCGAGGTACGACACCTATATACTTACGTCGGCAGTTCTTTGCTTCCTTGTCTCTTGTTTTCTTGCTGGTTTCCAGCGGCGCTTCTGCCCTTCTGCTCTCTCTCTCCCTTCTCTCTCCATCTCTGTACATTTTCCTTCCTTCTTGGCATGTTACTGACTACCTAACTCCTTCCCGATTCATGTTAAAGCGGTCCGTCTTCATCAAGTTGACCCTTCTGCACTCTCCCTTCTCTCTCCGTCTCTATTTATAAAATACTGAGGTAGACTCAAATGGTTTTCTTAAGTAGGCTGTATCTGGTGGAGTGCTGCTGCTGCTGCTGCTGCTGCTGCATCATATATATGATATATATATATATATTGTCATATTTTGAATTCACCACAGAGTGACGGGGTAGAGGGAGGATTTGTCACGTTGAAGACTCTCCCATTCCCCTCCTGTGCCTGTCTAATGTGTCACATGTTTTCTTCTTTTTTTTTTATGTGGATCGGACGGTGAGGACTTGTGTCGAACTTCGTGAGTACGCATAATATCGTAATTTGTGGTTGTAATGTTGGATTGTGACTGGTGTTACTTTCAATGGCTTAACTTCACCTGTGGTTCTAACCCTGCATCTCTCTCTCTCTCTCTCTCTCTCTCTCTCTCTCTCTCTCTCTCTCTCTCTCTCTCTCTCTCTCTCTC